GACATTTGCAAACATGAGCAATCATCTGGCATTTTGGAAAACACAACTTGGTTTCATAGGGGTTATGTTGCCGCAATGGCAGGGTAAATGATGGCTGTTGAAAATTTAAGTTTCCATACAAATGTTAGTGGAAAGTGTTTTGATGGGTTGCGTCTACTGTTTCCAACAACCACTAGGTGTCTCTGCAACACTGTAAATGGTTAGTAGTAACTTGGAAAAAGCTACACAGCCTCAAAAGAGCACACGAAAGAGTACATAACTACATTCTTCAAAGGAAGTGGTAATAACATATAAATATGTTTAGAAGCATAACTTGATCATTTTTCTTATCTGCTTCTAGTAAGCTCTTAATACTAGATCATCACACCATCTTCAATTCCAAAGTTACTTCAAGAAAACCAAAAGGCAAAATACATTTAAAGTGTTTATTTAGGTAAGAATCACTTAATTATTCAACAATGTACATTGTAGCTTGTATATTTTGTAAAATAATTAAACTGTTCAACATGTTGCATCAATATTCAGTGCACAAACGCATCACAAGCAAACATTTCACAGACAAACGCTGAAGTTCTTAAACAACAACATTGCATCACAAACTTTGGGTTGTACAATCTTGATGGATCAACATGTCTTCCAACACAAATGTGAAACATACATTTAGGTATTTTTTCAACAATTCAAGTCAGTTTTTTCAGTGCTTGACAATATCACACCGTACACGGTATAATAAATCAATGTAGTATCTTTTCACGATCCAACCAAACATGTGAATGCCGAGCATTGCTGGCATGAGTTGGGTGGAGTGGAAGCGAGTGGCTTTAAGTGTGTCTGATCTGTGACCCCGGGTGTCGTCACAGAGATGTTAACCTCCATCCATTGGGTTAACAAACAAAGGTAATCCAGGCAGGGCCCCTGCTTGATACAGAGGGTTAAGAGCAGCAACAGCAACCATGATAACGACACACCTCAACTGAGTCAATGCCAACCTTGGAGGTTGGGGGGGTTGGGAGGATAAGGTTACAGGGAAAGCGGTTGGAAGAAGCAGAAGTCTGGCCAACGGTGTTTGAGGTCCAAAACCATGCTACAAAATCGACTGAATTATCAAGATGAGGAAAAAGTAGTCAATTGTGTTCTCACAGGACCTGCAAATCAAACAAACAGTGTTAGCATTGACGTAAAGTGTCAGACGGCGGGATCCAACCTATAACGGAGAGAAGGAGTCAACTATGGTTATTCAGCCGTGGTTCTGCAAAACACAAAGCGCTTCTGGATCCCATCCAAAACACCTGTGAAGAATAAGAAATGTTAGTCGTTCAAAGTTTGGAGATCTTTTAAACTTCAGGGGTGCCTTCAACGCAACTGTCTTAATCTTGTTTTGACCATGATAACATTTTAAGCAGCATAGTAGTTCACTGGATGTTCCAGGTCGAAAACCATTGACATTTAAAAGTAAATAATCAATAGCAAAAACAATTAGACAATATGAGCAGATCAGTCAATCAGTAAGACACTATGTAGCATCCTGTTTAAAATCTAAATTCGTGCAGCTTTAAAAAAATTATCAACATGGAGTGCTCCAAACCTGATGACATAAAAATCATAAACGTTCATCATAAAGTTCATGCAAGTACATTGGCAATAAAAACCTTAGAAACAAGGTACAAATAGGTCCAATATGAACCTGTTCTCTGTTACCAGACATAACTTATGTCGTATACTAATGTGACTTAAATGGCATTGCCGATACTTTTTAAAATCCATAGGATTCAGAATTAAAATTCAATACAGTTTAAAAAAAGCAAACAAAAGGAACAAAAAAAACCCAAAATCATTAGAGTCAAAGTGAAACCACGAAAGGGGAACAGTGACAAACAAAACCACTTCAATTGTATTCAGCATCATGTGCCCTTCTGTATTACAGGAAACCGCAAGATTTCGACATACAGCTAAGACTATCGGCATCTAAAATACTTTATAAATGATCAGTGCTGAGTGTTGGAGGGATGAGGGTGATTAAATATATACTATGAATAAGTATGCTCAAATACTTGACTACAAATGGTAGATTCCTTGCCACAAATAATGGCATATTATTGTACCAAATTGGCATGTAATGGAAATATGTAGCCTACGTTAAAAAGTACCTTAACTTAATGCTACACCTAGATCACAAGTTCCATTGTGCAACAGGCAATTGTTAAAGGATTTGGTCAAACACAGAACAGGGAGGGGAGTCAATGCAAGAAACAATACCAGGGGGGAGAAAAACGAAACAATACCTTAAGAAAGATATTAGATCACAATGAATGACAGCTTGTTTCAGAATTGAGCTTCATCGTAAAGCACAAGACACAGACATTAGACACACAGACAAAGTTGTGGGCTAGAAAAGTTAATCGGCTTCACATACCCATATCTTCATGGTATATATAGGCCATATTTTATTTTATTTCCCCTTTAAAAAGTATTCAAATATCTACAAACAGAAACGGGGTCCAAGGTCTCTTTAGTTTTGGTTCTACATACAAATGAAACACTAGTAGAATAATTGAAGTCTGGACACATCAGTTTTTATATATATCTATATATATAAAAAAAGTTAACTTGACAACAAAGCACATAATGAGAACTCAAAAAGTTCGGAACAGTGATAAACATTCAGTGAAAGTTCTACTTGTTTGGTGTTATGTACATGATTTCTAATACACTGGTAATGGTTGCCCCCACACCTTCCGAAGCTGAAAATGTTTTGCTCTGAACGACTTGAACAAAATTATACAAAATAATGTAATTATACTGCGACTGTTCTATTCTGATTTCTTATTGCTGAAGGTTTGTCACTTTTGGAAGCAAGGAAATGTCAACAATATTTTGAAAATAAAAACCTCACTAGACCTTGATCCAGCAACACAGAAATCTACTATGTTGTCTTCTGATGTAAATAGGACTTTGATGCACCAGATACCAGGTTTTAGTAAACCTGAAATCCATCAATACTAAATAAAATGAACTACTGAAGGGAAAATCTTCATGACATCAAAAATAAATACTGTGTGTGTGCGCGCATGTATGTATGTATGTATATATGTATGTATGCGTTCATTATCTAGATAATCACTCAGTATAGAATGAGTTTGTAAATCAATTTGTTCTTGGAAGTAAAACAAAATACAAATGTCATCTTTCCTTTTGCAGCTTGGTGTTCTTATCAGAATGCTGAACTACAAATAGATTGGCAAGACTGCTACATTTTTAATTGTGGCCAAACGAAAAACAACAAACCAGTATCTTTGTTTTACCATTAAATCAAAAGTAAAGTTTACTACTAAATTAAAGTTCTAGCTCAGGTAAGAGTACTATATGAATATCAGCTTGTCAGAAAATCATGCCAACCAGACCAAAACAGGCTTCCAACTGTTCCTAAATGACCCATATCAACAGTTTTCATAATATATCGGCCAACAATATGGCAAAAACATTCATCGTATCAGTAAACCAATACAAATAAATATGAATTTATGGCAACTTAAACAAATCTGCTGCAATGTAAAATTGTACCCTGCAAAAATTGGAAGCTTCAAAAGGTCTTTCTTTTTCCAATCAATCTGTGAAAGATATTGTCGACATAGGCTATAAAAGAATCAGCCATACTCAGCATTTCAATCATTATCCTAAAGGAGCATGACAATCAAACATCTTTAAAATACAACTTGTAATGATAATTTATTATGGAGCACAGCTACTAACTGTGACATGTACCAATGAAATCAGAATATGCTAAAAAATATACAAAACTAAAGTTGAGTGCATCAGAAAAGTAAAATAATGTCTAAATCGCATTCAGAGATCGCACAAATGTAAGCGGCCTATTCATGTTTACCCAATTAAAAGACTAAACAAACAGCTCAATGATCAAGTAACGCTACCGGCCAAAATGGACTCTTTATAGAGTGAGAAGGAAAATTAAACCAGTCTTCCAGAGTAACATCAATTAACTTAAAAGTGCAGAAGAAAACCTAACAAATACACACCATTATCCATGTTATCCTGTCTTAATGTTAGGAATAAGATCTTACTATATTTTGCATGGCCAGTCAATCTAGATTATATTCGAACAAAAATCATTGGAACCATTACCTGGTGCAAGGGCAAGTTTGAATCATCAACATACCCTCAAACTGCATTTGAGCAGAATTTTTTGAAATGGCTTTAATACGTTCCTAAATGTTCTCAACTAGGCAGTGCCATTTACCCAGAAACTAAATGCTCCTTGAGGAAGGGCCCTACCCAAAAAGCCACCCCATAGTGTCCAATCCAAAGACCACAATCATTATCAAATGCTGCCATCTATAGGAGGAAAATGGCAGTGCCAGAAGGGAAAATAGGTAGTGGCAAGCCTCGCTCCTTTCCACACCTGTTTCATTCAGTAGCTTTCCTCGAATCCAAAACACCTGTTCAGATAATGAGCAAAATCTTGAGGTACAACTTAAACAATAGCCTATACAAAGACAGATGTCCAAAACTCTTCTCCCTAATTGTTGATATCGATGGTGTTCACAACTGAGCCGAGGATGGGAGCAACCATTATCCAGTGTCAACTACTACTACTTGTTGTTGTCGTTAGTGCCCAATGCACAAACCTTTTACTCAAACCTTTTCTCATATCTCACATTTCTTCTGTCACGGTTTGAAAGTCACCAGACCAGCGACCATGAACATATTGTCACATGAAACCGGCATCGAACCTCCCCCTTGACTGCAATTCAACCATTAGCAAAACACGCTGCTTTGTGCTGAGGTTTTCCACAGTAGATAGTCTGCCGGCGAGGCGGTTGAGGGTGCTCGTTGTGAGGTGGATGAGGGTGTAGGTTCTTAGTGTTCCATAGGGCTGTGGTTACATCTAGCTGAAGGAGCTGTACACGGGAGCCTCAAGGCTGAATAAGCATCTGACGTGATGTCCTGCACCGGGCGCTCGCCGCCTCCCCCTACCGCCCTCTTCAGCCGTCAATCAGTGACACGTCAATGTGGGACAAATCTATCATATGCCTGTATGGTTCCAAAAGAAGGATGTCTCGTTGAGTAACCCTTCTAATTTGGTGTCAGGTGTAGGCCCTATTCATAATGATATACTTTGGGGAGACTACCTCACTAGGATTGTGGGTTTTAAAAAGGGAGAGTGAAAAAAAGTGGTTTATTTACCTGTTGAAGCTGACTTGAAAACTCAAGGCATGCTGGGGATTGTGAAACTTGGCAATGGCTTTTCTCTGATGGGGCAGCATTTTGAACATCTGCAGCCGAATAAGCAGAACAAGGGAAGAGCAGGCATTTAGAACAGGGCAGTTATACTCTCATCTCAAGCTTTCTCATCCACATTGGGCCATGGTCAAAGGTAGCACACTATATGTGGGGAATAGGGTGTCATTTGGGACACAGACATGGGGGCAGAGAAGGCATACCTGGATGGGGCCGATGGAGTTGAGCAGGTTTCGGAGCTGCGTGTCCGTGGTGGATGTAGAGAGGCCGTCTATGGACACAGTGCAGGCCTGGCTGTCCCCCGTCCCCGCCCCTCGCTGATTCTGTCTGGTGGGTATCAGGCGCCCACACCCCAGCTGACCCGCTCCTCCAGCCCCCGCTGCCCCTCTGGCTCTGCCACGCCCACACCCCAGCTGACCCGCTCCTCCTGCCCCCCTGGCTCTGCCACGCCCCGGGACAACCACCTGCACCAGGCAGAGAGGATAGAAAGGGGGGGAGAGGAAGAAAGGAAACTGCTTGAACCTCTTATGCAGGCACGTTGATGTTTTCATTCCGTATCCAGCCGAGTGGAGACCAGATGTCTGACATCTACCAGGGTCTACTGTTTTTCAGCATGAGTGAAAATGCACTGTTTTGTCTCCCTTCTATTTACACCTCCAGGCTGCTGAGCTGCTTTTGCTTGATTGACTCATCATATTTCTACATACGGCGTCAACGTCAAACCACGACGACTGCTGCCTGCGCGCTGTGTGCATCCGTTGCATCTTCATACGAGAGCGAACGAGGGAGAGACCCCAGAGTGCAGAGAAGAGAAGCAGCCAGCCAGGCATCATGGTGGCTGCCTCCCCCCCGGTCAGCGTTGCTGAGCTGAGAGCGTCCGCCGAGACGGCGGGCTGGTGACAGACGTGCAGAGAGGCCAGGGGTCCCAGTGTAGCACCCGGCATACTGGCCTGTCATATTACTAGAGCTGCTTCAAATGGTAAACCTACTAAATGGCAGGGGAATGCCAGAGGTATAAAAAAACATATAGAGAATAGCAATGTACTCAGAGGATTTCTTACATTTATATTTAAGATGAAAATTGTAGGTACCGCTCCTGTCTAAAACACTACACCTGTCCTTAACGAATATGACAGTATTAGACACTTATGTATCACGTCTTCGGAGGAAACGCATGTTAGCGAGGCTCTGTTTAGAGTCCACCTGTTCCGTCCCAAATGGCACCCCATATGGCTCTGGTCAAAAGCAGCGCATGTAGGGAATAGGGTGCCATTTGGGACATGTTGAAATGTTTATGTATTTTGTGTAGTGGTGCTAATGGTGCTAAGTGTGAGGAGGGAAAACAACCTACCCTGTTGCCCAGGCCCCCTCTGTCCCCCTGTGTGACCAGGCCCTGTATGGGCTGTCCTCCGGGGGGGTTGGCCAGGGTTACCTTCCTCACTGGGCCCTGGAGGATATGGGGGGCTGGCCTGGTGGCCTGCTGCTGCTGGATGGGGGCGCTGATACCACTCGCATCTCCTCCCTGGAGATCACACAGCACAGGGAAAATAAATAGACTGCAGGGCTGTGTCCCAAATGGCACCCTATTCCCTGCCTTCAGAAAGTATTCACACCCCTTGACTGTGTTATAGCCTGAATTTAGAATGGATTAAATTGACTTTTTTTTTGTCACTGGCCTGCACACAATACCCCATAATGTGGAATTATGTTTTTAGAAATGTTTACAAATTAATAAAATATTTAATGCTGAAATGTCTTGAGTCAATAAGTATTCAACCCCTTTGTTATGGCAAGCCTAAATAAGTTCAGGAGTAAAAATTTGCTTAACAAGTCACATAAGTTGCATGGACTCACTGTGTGCAAGAATAGTGTTTAAGGTATCAAAATAACATATAATACAATTATTGGATCAAATATTGAATTTGGCATTACAGCTATTAGCCAATAGAAACGCATTGAATAACAGATTCACTACATGGGACAACAGATAGTCCCCCCAAAAAATCAAAAGGAAGTTTGTTCTGAAGTGTCTCCTATCTGAGAGATATAATAAGATCAGGAAACGATGTAAAAAATATGATAATTGACATGTATTTATCCCCTTATTTTACCGGGGACCTTAAGACAAGTCCTGTGAGGCCCAGAGCAAAATCGTGTTCGTGAGAGTCTCATCTTTCAATAGAGTGGTCATAATAGTTTGTAGGCCAAACCGTTTGGACGCAACAGACGTTTTCGTAAGAAGAACGATTTTCAGGATGTCTCATGGTCTGACAATCAAGCAGTGAATTTCAAGCACAGAAAACCAGGGAGGTTTTCCTATGGTTGGAAAAGAAGGGCACCTATTGGTAGATGGGTAAAATTTAAAAGCAGACATTGAATATCCCTTTGAGCGTGATGAAGTTATTTATTACACTTTGGATGGTGTATCATTACACATATTTTCAAGCATAGGGGTGGCTGCATCATGTTATGGGTATGCTTGTAAAGGACTGGAGAGTTTTTCAGGATATAAAATTAACGGAATGGAGCTAAGCATAGGCAAAATCCTAGAGGAAAACCTGGTTCAGTCTGCTTTCCACCAGACACTGGGAGACAAATTCACCTTTCAGCAAGACAATAACCTACAACACAAGGCCACATCTATATTGGAGTTGCTTACCAAGAAGACAGTGAATGTTCCTGAGTGGCTGAGTTATAGTTTTGACTTAAATCTACTTGAAAATACCTGAAAATGGTTGTCTAGCAATAATCAACAACTTGAAGAATTTTGAAAAGAATAATGGGCAAATGTTGCACAATCCAAGTGTGGAAAGCTCTTAGAGACTTATCTAGAAAGACTCACAGCTGTTATCACTGCCAAAGGTGCTTCTACAAAGCATTGACAGGGCTGTGAAAACTTATGTAAATGAGATAAATCTGTATTTCATTTTCAATAAATTTGCAAAAATGTCATGTTTTCACGTTGTCATTATGGGGTATTGTGTGTAGATGGGTGAGAGAAAAACTATATTGAATACATTTTGAATTCAGGCTGTAACACAACAAAATGTGGACTAAGTCAAGGGGTATGAATACTTTCTGAAGGCACAGCAGTGCACTACCCATAGGGGGCTCTGGTCAAAAGTTGTGCACTTTGTAGGGAATAGGTTGCCATTTGCGACGTATACTCTGTCTGATCGACTGCCTTTTTACTAATTTCTTGGTTTTAACACATAGTTATACAGTGTATTGTCCGACCGGAGTCCTAAGTCCATGAAATCAATACAAGTGCCCGGCAATGCAGAAAACACAGACCGATCACCGATTCCAGACAGAAAATTCGGAATAGCAAAATGGCTGAAAAAGATCCTGCCGAAATGGACCGCCAAGCAATGCCTGAAGCGAGTCTGGCTTCCCCGTTCACACCTCACAATCCCATGAAGACATTAGCTTTGAGGTGGAGCAGTGTGCGCCTCATGCTGTGAATGGATACAACATGGATGGTGACACACTCTCGTTATTAAATAGAGTTACAGATAGCTAGGGCTGTACAGCCTACTATTACCATGCTTTTACACACACACACACACACACACACACACACACACACACACACACACACACACACACACACACACACAGGCTGAAACAGCTGAAGGTCGTCTCTCGTCTCCCCTCTTATTCTAAATGTGACAGATCAATACTGGGGAGGGAGAGACAGACAGCAGTGATATATGACTGACCTGTCTCCTGCCGTCGTCCCACAGTAAATGGATTAATCCTCCTATAGAAATCTACAGCTGCTGATTGCACCCATCAGACGCTAAGCTGCATTACAACCGAGTGACATGTTCCCCGTCCCTTTACCCCTCCCCCTCTGCTCCCCACCCCCCTTGCTTTTGTGCTGCGTGTTGCATTGTAGGGCCCTGTTCTGTCTGATGAAAATTTAATTTCCTCCCTTATCTGCGCTGCCTAAGCTATACAAATCCAAATCCCTCAAAAGTGGCGACTCTTTCTTACACAGGTATTATGGCGCAGAGCCGCCCTGTTAAAGGAAGATTAATTGCCACGTGTCATGGGTTGACGCTTGACGTTTCTATGGCTCACACACCTGAGAGACGGCTGATGGAGAGCACGAGAGGGAGGGAGGGAGGGAGAGAAGGAGAGAGCGAGGGAGAGAACATTGTCAGGCTGCCGTCGATGACAGCGGAACAATGTGGAAGAGAGAGCATTTGGAGAATCTGCTTTTCAGTACAGCTATGGGCTCCCTCTCTCTCCCTCTCTCCCTCTGAGATGCAGCACTTCAGATAGCCCGGCATAGGTTTCTATTAACGCGGCTGACACCCAGTTATCTTCATCTAAGGCAGCAGAGAGAGAGAGCCTGCGATTCAGCCTTAACAGCCTTATCCTCTGGGATGGGAGCAAAGCAGCTTACTCCAAAATACTATCACATCTCACAAAGGCCTCATCAACAACAGATATGAATGTTTTAACACAAAGCCATTTCCAATTTACAAACAAGATTAATTCATAATTAAGGTGGCGGCAGTGACTTGATCAAATGAGAATAAAATGATCGACGCTGACAAAGGAGGGATTGAATCTGGACCCAGTTGGCTTATAATGGTATTTTCTGTTTTACACTTCAAGTTCCCTTGTCTTTATCTTTTGGGCTTTAAAAGGACAGACACCAACCTTTAAGGGCAGTGGACTGGTGTCACCAACACCAAATAAATGCTATAAATGTCAGATAAATGCCAGACAGTTCACTTTATTGACTGGTGCCTTTCAGTATTTAAAGGTAAGATGGGTGTGGAAGCACCTCATCTTCAATACCACCACTCAAACAAAAGGAATCGGACACTTTATGGATCAATTTTGCCAAAATAAAACAGACAGACAGAGAGCCATATGTCATTCCGAATAGGTTACAAAACATGTGGTCCTCCTAGGGAGTGAGTGACATTTAAAAGTATCTGGAAATTCTTGGGTTGAATTCAAGGGAACAATGGAGTCTGGACGGACAAAGGCACTAACCAAACAATAAAGATACTGTTTGTCTAAGGTTGCAAAATTCCAGAACATTTTCCCAAATGTCCATGTTTTCCAGAAATCCTTCTTAAAGGATTTCAGATTTCTCTCCTGATTCCGTGAATCTCAGGGAATTTTAAACCCTATATTTGTCAGTCTAAAAGCAAATGACCAAACAGGCACTCACCCCTCCTATAAGCTTGACAACTCTGACTTTCTGTGGGATGTGTGGCCCCGCTCGGTCTCCACTATTGGCTCGCTGCATCACAGTTCTCTTCACCCCTGACTTAGGCCCAAGAGCCTGGGCCTGGTCTGGACTCAGACCTGCCATCAGGGCTCCCTGCATGGGCATGCTCCCCAGGACAGTGGGCCCCCCTGGTCTGATAGGGTTCAGCTGGGTAACGTTCCTCCTCTGCTGCTGCTGTTGTTGCTGGGCCTGCTGTGTAGGGTTGGGACCGGGGCCAGTGTTCTGCCCCTGTTGGCCCCCCTGCCAGCCTGGCGCTGGGGCTTGCTGACCCTGGCCCTTGGTCATCTGCAGGCGGGTCTTCACGTTCTGGCGGAGCGCGGGGGGCGTCGGTGGGGTGCCGTTGGGAGGGAAGGCAGTAGAGCCTTGCTGGGGCTGTTGGGGTTTAGGGGGAAACTGCCTCTGCTGCTGTTGTTGTGGTGGGTCACCTTGGCCGATGATGCGCTCCATTAGCTCCTTCTTGCGGACGCCGGCTTGCATCTGCCTCCTCATCTCCTTCCTCTTCAGGATCTCCTCCCGGAGACGCTTCTGCTCCTCGATCTTCAGACGGTACTGCCGCGTCTCTTCGTCCTCGTCGGGATCCTACAACCAACCAGACACTATGAGAAACATCACACTCACACTCTCCATGAGCTAGTAACATGGGCAGCATCCCCAATGGCACCCTATTCCCTATATAGTGCACTACTTTTGACCAGCGCCAGTGCACTATAGGGAACAAGGTGCAGCCACAGAGCTGCAGTAACTACCATTGGAACCGTCTAAATTGGCGTGACATTCACAGTAGTAATGAGAAGCGATACCCCAGAGAAATATACTATGATGGTATTGATCCCTTTTCCAATGGACTCCCCGGTGAACGAGTCTCATCTAATTTATAACCTTATGATTGGGCCATTAATTAATAGAATAGCATTCACTGCCCCATCTAACTGAACACGGCGGGCTTAGCACGGCTTATTATCTCAGGTTACTGAATTTTACAGGCACAATGTCTGTCAAAATAATAAAATATTCTCAAATTATCGCCATGCCTTAAATATGTGATGATGGTATAAAAGAGAAAATGATTGGTGAAATAAAACTGAGGCGGCCACTTTCGCAATTATTTCTATATTGAGTCACACACGAAAATCCAAACCGTTTGCCTTTGTTTCCCTGTTTTGGCCATGATTTCAACACAGTTTTATTTAGACACTACTTTTGTGTGCATCCCAAATGGCACCTTATTCCCTACATAGTGCACTACTTTTGACCAGGGCTCTATTTACACTATATAGGGAATAAGTTGCCATTTACATGTGGTGTACATATTTATTTTACTGCTGTTCTTTAATTATTTGTTATTTTATCTATTTTTTTACTTAACACGTATTTTTCTTAAAACTGCATTGTTGGTTAAGGGCTTGTAAGTAAGCATTTCACTGTAATGTCTACACCTATTATATTTGGCGCATGTGGCAAATAAAATGCGATTTGATTTGGTGCAGGACTGACCTGTACTGCTGTGTTTGGCTGAGTGTCTGTGGAATCCCTGTGAACCACCGTTCTTTCAGGTGGCCCAGGTAGCTGTGCTGCGGCCTTGTTGGCAGCAGTAGGCTGGGCTCTCCCCCGGCCACCGCCTGGGACCGGCCGAGCATTCAGGCCCGGTCGCACCCCCCCCTGCATTGCCCTGGCAACGGGCCTGACGTTGGGCACCGAGGCGGGGCGGACATTGTTCATGTTTTGGTTGCCAGGTGCCACGGGGAGCTCGCGGAGGTTGCTGTTGCGCTGGGGAAGGACTTTCAGTGCAGGAGGGTTCTGTGGAAGGAGGAAAAACTGATTTGTATTTCGTTGGTCTTTTGATCACAATCATTTTGCTTGATATACCTATATAACCAATGTGATTTTTTTTCCTGTGCACGTTGGGTTTTTGATTGAAAGCAAAGCACATCGATTCCTTCAAAATCATTTTGAACGTGCCATAAATCCAAATAGTCCTATGACCGATAGTGGCTGCTCACCATTCTGGACCTGATGGGGGCGTTACGCTGCTGTGGGTGGGGTCCGCCAGAGTGCGTCTGTCTGGGGCTGCCGTGCTGCTGCACCTGGTGGAAGAGGGGCTGCCCCTGCCCACTGCCGTGGTGCATCATGGGGCCTTGCCGCTGCTCGTTGGGGTGGAGCTGATGCTGTGGGTGGTGGTGGGGGGGCGGCTGAGACAGGTCCTGTCTGTGATGCTGCTGCTGCTGCTGTTGTTGTTGTTGGGAGAGAGGCAAGTCGTGACACTGGAGCTGTGAGTGGGGAGGGCCGTGCTGCATCAAGCCCTAGTTTTAATTGCAACGCAAAAAGACAAAGCGGGCAGAATGAGTGATTTTGACAGATAGGGTAAAAGATTGACTGTTTTGACTTACAACTTGAAAATAAAAAAGCAGCCACACTTCTCGTATGCACGCGATTTGAGCTTTTTTTAAGAAGGAACGGTTACATGCATATGATTAACCTCCAATCGGTGTCCTCATATAGCCGCGGTAACAGAGGTAGAACAATGAGGCCTACACTAGAGGGCACTCTTGTCTGTGCCTCACCATTCATACTGCATGGGAAGGAGGTCTCTGAGAAATATTAGCTGTTTTAATGACATTTTCACTAACGTGGAATATTCAACAAGCGTTTCCAATATTTTTATAATCGAGTAAAAACTGTGCAAATTTAGAATAAGGACGGACAATATTTCACATTTGACATGTATCCCAACAGGTACTGTATAATCACTGATTGTGAAGAAGCTTGGAAAAAGCCATAGTTTACATTACAAACTGAACTGATTTCCATCCACGCCGAGTTAATACTTAACAAATAGACAACACATACCCATTTGTGGACCAATACTTGAATCATGAATCATTCCACCCGCCTCATGCACAGGCAGAGCGCAGGCCACCACCACACACGTTAACCGGTAGAAGATTCACTTACTCTCATCCGTACCTGCATCCCAAACTGGTGCTGCTGCAGTGGGAAGGACCCGGGGGGCACCTGCTGCTGCTGAAAGCCGGGCTGAATGTGGCCCATGAAGGGCCTGGTGTTGGGGGGTCCGCCGAGCCCCGTCAGGCTGGACATGCCCTGGTGGCCCTGGGGGTGGCCCTGGGGAGGCAGGTTGGGTCTGGGGGGCTCTCTCTGGAACATCCCTGGCTGGCCCCCTGGACCCTGGCCCGGCTGGTTGAACCCTCCTAGGCCTGGCTGGTTGAACCCTCCTAGGCCTGGCTGGTTGAAGGCCATGTGGCCCTGGCTGGGGATCTGATGGTTGTTACTGTTTATGAGCAAGCCGGGGTTCTGGTGATCGAACATGTGCTGCTGTTGCCCAGGGAACCGCCCTGGGTCTATAGAACAGGAGGGGAAGTAGGGGGGGGAGGAGAAAGCCACAACAGAGACGTCAAGTTGTTTGCTGCGTCGCCGCATTTCCCACTCACTTTTAATACATCAGACAGTGACTGCCTCGAGTCTTGGCTGTACGGACTAAGGCTGGGGGAAGCACCATACATAGGCCTACATCTCTATCAACAGAAAATAACACCACACCAATATTTGATGGTATTTAATTCCACATAAGTAGTGATTAGGAAATGAGTGATATGAATGTATATTAGGAGCCCCGACTCATTCCAATGCATGTAGGTGCACATACATACATACAGTGCCTTCAGAAATGTTGTTATGTTATCCCCCAAATTAAAAATTTATTAAATTGAGATTTTTTAAAATGTCCTACACACAATACCCCATAATGTCAAAGTGGAATTATGATTTTTGGGATTTTTACAAATGAATTAAAAATGAAGCTGAAGTGTCTTGAGTCAATAAGTATTCAACACCTTTGTTATGGCAAGCCTAAATACGTTCAGTAGTACAAATGTGCTTAACAAGTCACATAATAAGTTGCATAGACTCACTCTGTGTGCAATAATAGTGTTTAACATGTTTTTTGAATGACTACCTCATCTCTGTACCCCACACATATAATTATCTGTAAGGTCCCTCAGTCGAGCAGTGAATTTCAAACACAGATTCAACCACAAAGACCAGAGAGGTTTTCCAATGCCTCACAAAGAAGGGCACCTATTGGTAGATGGGTAAATGGAAAGCAGACATTGAATATCCCTTTGAGCATGGTGAGATAAAGGTGTCCTTCCTACCTCAGGTGCCGGAGAGGAAGGAAACCGCTAAGGGATTTCACCATGAGGCCAATGGTGACTTTAAAACAGTTAGAGAGTTTGATGGCTGTGATAGGAGAAAACTGAGGATGGATCAATATTGTAGTTACTCCACAATACTAACCTAATTGACAGAGTGAAAAGAAGGAAGCCTGTACAGAATAAAAATATTCGAAAACTTGCATCCTGTTTGCAACAAGGCACTAAAGTAATACGGCAAAGCAATTAACTTTTTTTTCCTGAATACAAAGTGTTATGTTTGGGGCAAATCCAATACAACACATTACGGAGTACCACTCTCCATATTTTCAAGCATAGTGATGGCTGCATCATGTCATGGGTATGCTTGTAATCGTTAAGGACTGGGGAGTTATTCAGGATAAAAAAGAAACGGAATGGAGCTAAGCACAGGCAAAATCCTAGAGGAAAACCTGATTCAGTCTGCTTTCCACCAGACACTGGGAGATTAATTCACATTTCAGCATAACCTAAAACACCAAAACCTAAAACACCAAAAGGCCAAATCTACACTGGAGTTGCTTACCAAGAGCACAGTGCATGTTCCTGACTTAAATCTGCTTGGAAATCTATGGCAAGACCTGAAAATGGTTGTCTAGCAAGGATCAACAACCAATTTGACAGAGCTTGAAGAATGTTACACAATCCAGGTGTGGAAAGCTCTTAGAGACTTAGCCAGAAAGACCCACATCTGTAATCGCTGCCAAAGGTGACTCTAACATGTATTGACACAGGGGGTTGAATACTTATCTATCTAATCAAGATATACAGTATTAGTGTTTTATTTTTCATGAACTTTAACATAGTATTTTGTGTAGATCGTTGACGAAAAATGACAATGAAATTCATTAATTAATTTAGTTAATGGAACTCTGCAATTATGCTCGCAGCGTACCCTGAAGGTATACTGCTAGGGGTTAATGCCCAGAAGGGTTAGCTATGCTAAGAGAGACGATTTAACCCCTTAAAGGCAGGGAAGGACGCGTGGGTGGGTGAGGAGGGCTGTGTCCCAAATGGCACCCTGTTACCTATATAGTGCACTATTTATGACCAGAGGGCCCTGGTCAAAAGTAGTGCACTATATAGGGAAAATGGTGCTATTTGGGATGCAAGCTGTGGTCTTACCCCCAATGAAGAAGGGCTCTCTGTCCTGGGGGGCAGGGGGAGGCTGGTTCCTCCAGGGCTCCATGTAATGGGGGGGCCTCTGGGGCGGCTGGCCAAAATTACCAGGCATGTGCTCCTGCTGGAAGTCCCCCGATCCCTGTGAGGGGGGGGGGGGGGAGAGGTGCATACACACACACTCATACATTTCATTCCACATTGGGAACCACTGTAATCACAAACTAATTAAAACTAACGAAAAAGGTGCATTTCGGGTTATATTATTATACTACAAATTGAATGGCTAGGATCATTCTCATTAGGCACAATGTTGACCTGGGTAAAATGTACCAATGTTTACACCATTTTGAGAGGAAATACCATTGAGAATAAGTGAGAGTAAACCTCTAATTCACTAGTGTTATTGGCATCCTAGCAACATGACAAAAAAATCTGCCATCTTGGCCAGGAAAACGTTAACTCGAGAAACAGTAAAAACCACACCACAGTGCTGCGTCTAGTCTACCGTCAAGGAAAAGCAGCAGATAACGATCCCATAATCCCTCCTCGGAATAAGATCCCCCCCCATAACCTGAATCTCCTTTATTCTCTTAAACATCAGTCTCTGTTGAAAAATTAACCTTCAACTCAACACGTTGCACTTCCACAAATGGGGTTCTTAGACCTCCCTCCTCCTCGCCCCTTTGTAAATTATTTAAGATGCTATCTAGGCTTAATCCACCTTGATTCGCCGGTAGACTGACGGCATTTTGAGCGGGATAGAGCGGTGTTTCGAATGCTGGAAGGGAGAGAGAGTCGCCAAAGTTGCTTAACAGAAAGTTAATCAACGGGGCTTAACAAAGCAGAGGAGGAGAGGGAGCGGATCATATTGTTAGTTTGGACATTATCGCTCTGTTCCAAAGGTCAGTCCGGTTTGCACAATGGAGGCTCGGTTGTCTACATAATACCTCTGGAAATTTGTATGAATTTGATAACGCGGCTCATCCGCTCTGAGTGCTAATCCTTGATAAACAGGCTGAGAGGTGCTCAATGTGTAACTGATTCTGCAGATATCCCTCTCGGAAAGAGAGAGTGCTTGCTAAGACAAATGTCATACAATGGACCGGACCATATGTCAAACCATTCAATGAGAAATGGAAATCAAGAGGATTAGAAGGGGCATTTGTTTTGGTCGGTCCTTCTTTGGACATAGTGTCTTGTACAAATGTCACATTGTTGCCACTATTGATGGAGGGATTTCATAATTCTAAGGACAATGGTACGGTTGACCAATGAGACTAAAAGATATGTTAGATAAGTACCTCCGCCATCGGACAGAAAATTAGCCTGATGTGACTTCAATGTCACCTTTTAATGTTATCTTTGTAGCTTGGACAATATGAAACCTAGGCTACTTTTATATTTTCAATATCTAACCTGATGATATTACAACATATTCATATTTGGAACAAATGGCAAAATATATTATATTTTCAACCACCAGGCCCTTGATATGCTAGATGCAAGAAATGTCCATTTGGCCCGAATTACAAACCTAAAATTGTATTCTTGACTAGCAGTTTCTATCGTCATAGCCCCCTAATTAGCTCTTAATTTCATAAATTATCCAAATGTTTTATAGAATGATTTTACATATGTGGGAGGGGGGCATCACCCCTCCCCTTCTTGAACAATTAAGTCTGATGGTATGATAATGTATGATAATCATCCGTAATCTGGTGCCCAGTGGTAAATGGATGTTGCTGGGTGTTTTGTCACCTGCATTTCAAATCGTGACCCTGGCAACAGCAGCCTAAACGTGAGTGACAGCTGGGGAATCCAACACTATGCTAGGCATCAGCTCAGCCTCGCTCTCTCTCTCTCCCTCCAACTCTGATAATAGTGAAAAACAGCTCTGCTACACACACTGGAGCACTCTCTCTGCTATCAATGTCCACCGCAATCACAGACTGGAAAGGAGATGAGGAAGATTGAATAAAATGTAGGCATTTTCAAAATAACAGACTCTAAATGCGAGACCCTGGCTCATTTGTTGACAAGGTTTGTAAGTATACCTTTCGCCAAATGCAATTGGAGGCAGACACTTTTCAATGGCTGATTTGCATAAATCCATATAAAACGCTCTTCCCGAGAAGGTGTCAATCAGCACCAGCGCCACCTGATGCCTGGTCATCATTAGCTTGGCACCCTGTTCTCTACATCAGTGGTTCTCAAACATCTCCTCGGGGACACACAGACGTTTCACAATTTTGTTGTAGCCCTGAACTAGCTTGCCTGATTCACCAAATCAGAGGCTTGATGATTAGTTGATGAGTTGAATCAGGTGTGTTAGCGGTGTAATAGATGAAATACATGGAACGGCTGGGGGTACCCGAGGAGAGGTTTGAGAACCACTGCCCTACATAGTGCACTACTTTTGACCAGAGCCATATGGGAATAGGGTGCCATTTGGAACACATCCTAGGGCTGGGCGATATGGCCTAAAAATCATACCTTATGGGCGAGTCACTATATATCTCAATAAATATATATATATATATATATATAAATATGGGTTGTTGTACAATTAAAGGTCAAATACACTGCATTTCAAATAGACAGCAATAATCTAACGAATTCAGAGCTTGTGAAGTTATACCTAGACTAAATATAAGCCTTCCACAACCACTAATAATGTAATTATTTTATGAAAACAGTTTAACTTTCAAGTCTGTCTGTGAAAATGCAATTTTTTCTTACAAATGTAACTAGAACCATGCATAATGCACACACACTAATAATGACTAATTTCTTGCAGCAGGCATTAGGCTATAGAAAATTAACACAGGTCTCAACAATCTCGCAAACTGTGCTAGTGATTAGCCAGCTAATCTTTATATTTCAAGTTTAGCCAACTTGGATCTATTTGCTAGCTAACAAGGTTGAACAGTTGAATTGTTATGAACACACTCTTCTGTCTGTCTCCAACTGTTTGAAAAGGATGTTAGCCTGTCCACTTTGTTCAGATGCTGAAATCAAGTGGCCTATCTTATTTCTCAGAATGACAAAGAGTTGCCAATTCCTTATTTGATTGTGTTTTATGCTTATTGCACATTTACAAAACAGAATAGACAGCTAGTATAACAGTCTTTGGCTAAAATATTGCTAACGTACCAATTCCGCGCTCGACAAACTGAGCACTCATTTTCCAGAATCAATGTTCACTGATACTCCCGTTTTAGTAGTGTCTGTTCTGCACGCAATTTGAGTAGTTGAGACATAAAAAGGGTATCGTTTGAAAAGTGAACTTCTCTATTACAGTAAAATAACGTCTCAATGTGTTTTGGTGTCCATATTACCGATTCTTTTGGAACCAAACCTCAAATGCAAATAGCGGGTTGAAACCGCTTGTCAGAGAGGAAGATGTGATCTGTCAACTTTGTTGGCGTGAGAGGCAGGGGGAGGGGCTTGGTGTGTGTGTAAACCACATCAAGCGGCAGGTAGCTTAGTGGTTAAGAGCGTTGTGCCAGTAACCGAAAGGTCGCTGGTTCTAATCCCCGAGCCGACTAGGTGAAAAATCTGCCCTTGAGCAAGGCACTTAACCCTAATTGCTCCTGTAAGTCGCTCTGGATAAGAGCGTCTGCTAAATGACTAAAATGTAATAAAATCTGTCCAAAATAAGCCCAATGTGTTTCTATGGTCTTATTTTTGGACCTAAGCTTGTTGCCTGCCTTCCTGCCTTTGGGACAACGACTCCCATTGTTAGGGCGGAGACATGAGCATCTCGTCATTATATACAGATCTCAGGTGTAAATGGGGAAGGTCCACACAGCACAGAGGAGCGAAGGAGAGGAGACCCAAAATACAACATAAACGCTTATTAAAAACGCAAAATAACAAAACCTTCTTGCGATACAGGCATTTAGAATATCGCGCAAAAACATACATTCAAATTAATTCGATATATAGCCCAGCACTAACGCAACCTGAGTAACTTGAGGCACAGTTGGCTGCCTGGCCAATCCACTTCCCCGCCAGTGCTGTAATCACTTTAAAGGCATTCCTTTCCTGTCATCTCTGTAATGGGTTCAATGTTACTCTGGTTGCGTTTAGATAGGCAGCCCAATTCCGATTTTTTTCCATTAATTGGTATTTTGACCAATCACATCAGATCTTTTCACATCAGATCTTTTTCAGAGCTGATCTGATTGGTCAAAAGACCAATTAGTGAAAAAAATATCAGATTTGGGGTGCCTGTCTAAACGCAGCCTCAGAGGTTCTTCAATGATTCATTTTCTTTGACTACCTGAATATCTATTTATCCCTTAGTATTAAACCAAAATTATGTTTTTGGGTTGTTTTTCTAATTCAAAACAGCCTTCTAAAGGTCTGTTCTGCTTTGTGCCACAAACTTGCCCTAAAAAAGTGGTATTTTCACTGGCGGTAGTAGGCTGTATCCTGGACTGTGTCCCAAATGGTACCCTATTCCAATAGAACTCAAAATTAGTGCACTATGTAGGGAATAGGGTGCCATTTGGGACGGACCCCTGATTTCAGGATTCCATTGTGATGCCAACCGCATAGTCTGAGCCCCAGCACATCCAGAGAGTGCTAACTAATCTAAGCTTCCGCCACCCCAGCCCTCCAAGAAGGCCAGCCACTGCCTAAAGCCCCTATCAACCATTTCCAGTTGTGCAGACAGACTCGGTATGAGTGTTTACAGATTTGCTCTAACAGTATTTGGACCAGAGCGGGCATCTAATTGCCATAATGATATTTCCCTCACAAAGAGGCCCGCCGCTAACCGTGTGATGGGGGTGAGGTGAGAGAGGGAGTGTGAGTGGAGCAGCTGCTACTCACAGGGAACCTCTGAGGACTCGGAGCAGATCTGGGCTGGCTCTGGGCAGGAGGCATCAAGGGCACTGCAATGAGAGAGAGAGAAGGGGGGGGGGTAAGAGCGAGAGAGAGAATGATGTAGATGGGGCAGGGGGGCAGAGAGGGGTTAAGAGAGAAATGAGAAGAGGAGAGAGAGAGCGCAGGGGTGGGGAGAAGGAGGGATAGTCTATTGGACACCTCTGTGTGTGCTAAAGGCTGTTACACAGGCATGCGTCTTACATTTCACCTCCGAGATGGGCTCACATTTGTACACAGCTGGACAGAGGCAAAAGGGAATGAATGGATGAACATAGTGAAAGCATGCGGTTGAAGTTGTCTAATGGACCACGGGCTAAGGAGGATGGGTATATTTGGATCTGAAAGAGGCCATTTCATCATACAGTATGAGGCTTTTTGACTTCAGTAAATACTCCATGCATCTTCAATTCATAATCAGTTTGAGTTGCAACTGGTAATGGCAATTTATTTATTTTCGACAGAAATTGAAAAGGACAATTCGTTGCAAATATGGGTTAAGGGACATATGCCAACCTCTGGAAAACACTCCTGTTATCCTATCCACCCCCCTCCCCTCAAAAAACATACGCCGTCTCTCTATCTCTGTCACACACACCCCTAGTTATGACTGGAGGCAATCCCTGATCTTTCACTATCACTTCCCTCTCTGGAGCAAACCATGGCCCCCGCCCCCCAACACACACATAGACCCACACACACATTTCAGTCTGGACAGACAGAGAAGATAAACCGATCTCGAGGAATGGAGAAGAAAGGACAAGTAAATAACCCTATTACTGTCTGAAAGCCCTATTCACTTGTCATTCAACCCAAACAACAACATGACATTCTAATCCAGACACTTTTCAAAGCAGTGCACGGATAACTGCCAACCATACGGCATCGTATGCCTTTGCTTAGTGGTAAATATTCAAAACATTCAACTTAATGAAAAAGGACCCAGTGGGCCACTCGAATGACACCCTATTCCCTAAATAAAGCACTACTTTTGACCTGGGCCCAAAGGGAGGGAATAGGGTGCTATTTGGGATGCACCCCAAACCCTGCAAAGATGCGGAGCAGCCCGAAGTGCAGACCTACCTTGTGCAGGGGAGGACGCTGGGCCCCTGAAATGGGGGTTGATGTGGATGTTCTTGGGCTGCTGCTGCTGCTGTTGGTGGGGGTGGTTGTGTGAAGGAGGGGGACTCATCATACGGGGCGGCGGGTCCATCTGTGGCCTGACTGGTGCCCTGTGTGAGGAGGGCGAGCCACGGTGGGCCATGTGCTGGGGGGTGAGGGCTTGCAGGGGCTGCTGGGCCAGCGAGCCCCCACTGTGCTCCTGGAAAAGAGGCCCTCGGGGGCCACCGGGGCCGCCCTGGTGATGGGCCTGCTGATGAGGATGATGAGTTTGGTGGTGAGGGGGAGGCATTCTGGAGGGAGACTGCTAATTGGAGGGAAGGAGAGAGAGAGAGAGAGAGAGAGAGAGAGAGAGAGAGAGAGAGAGAGAGAGAGAGAGAGAGAGAGAGAGAGAGAGAGAGGGAGAAAGAGGGAAGACCAATACAACAAGTCAGATATGTCGAGTGTTGGAGGCTATATACACTGAGTACACAAAACATTAGGAACACCTGCTCTTTCCATAATATAGACTGACCAGGTGAATCCAGGTGAAAGCTATCATCCCTTATTGATGTCACTTGTTAAATCCACTTCAATCAGTGTAGATGAAGGGGAGGAGACAGGTTAAATAAGTATTTTTAAGCCTTGAGACAATTGAGACATTTGTGTACGTGTGCCATTCAGAGGGTGAATATTTAAGTGCCTTTGAACGGGGTATGGTAGCAGGCTGCTGGGTTTTTCACTCTCAACAATTTCCCGTGTGTATCAAGAATGGTCCACCACCCAAAGGACATCCAGCCAACTTGACACAACTGTGGAAAGCATTGAAGTCAACATGGGCCAGCATCCCTGTGGAACGCATTCGACACCTTGTAGAGTCCATGCCCCAACGCATTGAGGCTGTTTTGAGGGCAAAAGGGGGGGGCGCAACTCATTATTAAGAAGGTGTTCCTAATGTTTCGTATACTCAGCTCAGTAAATGAGTTCAATAAACAAATCACTGGTCCCTCACATAGGCCTATACGTTAAGCTTTAGCTCCTATTGAATTACCCGTTGACCAATGTATAAATTCTAAACCAAGTTAAGATATTGTCACCCCTCCAGTCATTCCTCACACCGTAGTGATATATAGCTGCATTAAGACTGGTCCCGCTTTTCATTCATAGCACAATTCACTAGACCTGAGAAATGGAATAATTGCGATCCAGTTGAGCGTTCCCATACCTCTTAAAGAAGCATAGCCCCTTATTATTCAGGCTGTTTAAAATGATTTTCCTTTATCATATAGTGAACGGAGTGGCTGCTGATGTGACGTTTGTCAGAAGATTTTTGGTCCAGACTAAAGATGCTGACGCTTTGGGCATGTGCTTATGCTCTACTTTACAGGCTCCTCTGGCGAATGGTGCTCGTTTAATAAAGTCAGATCAAAGCTGAATCAATGTCTGATAGTATTCTATATAACATAACCAAATATAATAGCATAGTATTACGTTACTCTAAAGGCGTCCGTATACATCGGTTCGGTTTGCTCCTAGCCAAACTCGGCTAGGCGACGCAAACGTCTGTGCTCCCATACTCCATAAAGACCTTCACTTGAAAAAAGTGGCAATATTACTGTTGTTTGTCCCTCTTAAGCCACCGTAACAACATAGCCAGTAACACTTCCTCAAAATAGTCAGAATTAATCTAAGATAAATCAAGAAATCTGTAATTAATTTTGATGTTTTTTGCAGAGGAGGTCTTAGTCGCGCAATTTTTCATCTAGCTAAGATGTTCGGTGCAGTTCTTCTCAAGTGAAAAAACGTGTATGAAAACTAGTAGTGGACTGCAGACAGTAGGGCCTAGCTGCTGCTGTGCTCTCTCATCTCTCTCGTTGAATGACAGCAAACACTTCATTGAAGAATCCTGTCCATAGTTCCCACCCCTACTTTTGACCAATCACCGACGAATGGGCGTAGATTTCATCTACCGAACTTAGACTTGCCTCAAGAAACAAATGTGTGCGAGAACAGCCAAAAACATTACCGCCGAACACCAAAACGTCACAAAATATGCGCAAACTGTTTCAACTGGGAACACCACTGCATTTTTCACTCATGTGAACAAAACTCAAAAGCGCACGCCACTAGGCAAAATACACAAGCAGGCTATGCTGCAGTTTGTTAACACCTTCTGCTCTAATATTCTCTCAATGTACATCATTCAAAACAACACTGTGGGCTACTTCGAAACACTGTATAACTCAAGAAAATCTAAACGCCTATCCCCGTGAAACTGATTGAGATCAAATGGTTGGTATGCCGATGCTGCATGGGCGTCTCACTGGTAAAACTTTAAGAATTATCATTCACGATTGACAGTGAGAAATGTTAATGTGTGTATAAAGTAGAGGTAGAGAAACATGGGCAGAAGCTTCGGGATATTTAGTCCGGAGAAAACAATTCTGGGAAAAGTATTATCTGCAGACATGGCCTATCCAGAAATGACTTCAAATGGATGAACAACTTAAATGAACGGATTATATGCTTCAAAATATGTCTAATAAAAGGCCACGAGAAACTAAATCCTATGCAAAGAAGAAAATTAATTTCATATAATTCTGTCTAAATGGACTACCGCCCATGTTTTTGGTATAATCCATATATCAACATTGATAAGGGGAGAAGAGAAGCCGAATGTTTGCCTTTGTTCACGCGCAAGTGATCACGGTTCCAATAGGCCATGGAGAGAACGGCATATTTGCGAACAATCACAAGTGGCTGTGCCTTATTAGTTTTACAGGTAAACATTAGGGCCGGGACGATACCAGTATCACAATATATTTTCCTTGGCAAAAATTAAAACATGAAGCAAACCTTTTGCATTGTGTCTGATTATTTTGTTAAGATTTACCTGCATGCCCATATGTAGTGGCATCATTGGGAGCCGCTGGTCATTCATTCGTCCTCTTCCTCCACCAAAGTCTCCCATCCCGAATCCGGGGAATCCCCCTCTTCCTCCTCGTCCTCTGAATCCTCCTCTTCCTCCTCGGCCCCCAAAGCGGCCCTGCTTCCTCTGGCGCTCCTTCTCCTCAAACTCCATCAGGTCTGCTTTGGCCTCTTCAGAGAGCTCTGGTGGGCAAAACACATCATCAAGAAGTGACCATTACAACATTCAGGGGTAGTTTCCCGGACACAGATTAAGCCTAGTCCTAGAATCTCCATTGAGCATGCTTTTTATTCTAGGACTAGGCTTAAATCTGTGTCCAGGAAACCAGCCCTCAAATACAGCCCATTTAGGAGGACTTGCTCAATATGGATTTGTTGAGCATTTTCTTTTGATCAATGTTGTGTAAATACATTTTGGAGTTAAACTTGAAATGCTCTTCAGCCATAACCAAGGCTACCAAAGAAAGCACAAACATGTTACATATTACAGTTTACAAATACGAAGCAAAAAAAAATGTAGACATTTGAATTATTTCCTAACTGAGTGCAAGGTTGTAAATAAATGTACCTAATGTTTCAGGAATGTTTCTTCTTTTGTTTGCTGCATCTGCCAGCCGCACAATGCCAGACGTGACGTCTTTGCGCTCAGTTTTGAATCGCAACCGGCCAGACTCTCCATCCTCATCTTCCTCTTCATCCTCATCTTCCTCCTCCTTCACTTCTTCCTCTGGCTCTGGTTCATTTTCAGCCTTTGGAAATATAGGGATCATCTTAGTCATCAATTATGAACAACCCATCAGATATATGGATAGTGTTCATCTTTTAGGCCTATAAACTGCAACCACTTCACAAAAAAGATGCAGGCCTTCAGTATGGTTTAAACCAGGGTTCTTCAATTCCGGTCCTGGAGGGCCGAAACACTTCTGTTTCTTATTTCTACCTGGTAGTTAATTGCACTCACCTGGTGTCCCAAGTCTGAATTAGCCCCTGATTAAAGGAGAGGATGAAAACAGAGGTGTTTCGGCCCTCCAGGACCGGAATTGAAGAACCCTGGTTTAAACCATTAGAATTAGCTACACATACATAATTGATCATTTGCAACTTTTTTAGCTAGGCAACTCCAAAATCAAATCACCACACAGCGAGCGTTAGTCAGCATAGCAGCCATTGACTCAATGCAAAGCATCAGACAGAGAGGGGCTCTGACTATTATTGGCCAGTGTCTGGGTCCCAAATGGCACCTTATTCCCTATATAGTGCATTACTTTTGACCTGAACCTCTTAAGTAGTTCATTATATAGGAATATATAGGGAATAGGGTGCTGTTTGGGATACAGCCAGTGAGTGAGGGAGACCTGTTCTGCTCACACCTCCTCTGTGTCTGCGAGCTGAGAGTCTTCCTCCTCTTCGTCCCCCTCCGGTGCTTCCTGTTGCTCTGCCTGCTCCTGCTGTTCTCCATCTCTGTAGCTTGTTGAGTAATCATCCACCTACAACAACGTGGAGAGATTCAGAATCAATATTCTAAATACTAGTCAGTCATCAACATACAGTACCTTCAGAAAGCAGTCATACCCCTTGACTTATTCCACAGCCTTAATATCAAAATGGATTCAATCTTTTTTCTCTCTCACCCATCTACACACAATACCTCATACACATATTTTTGGATATTTTAGCTAAGTTATTGAAAATTAAATACAAAAATATATCCTTTACATAAGTATTCACATCGGAGTGAATGGAGCACGGAGGCGATTACAGCTTTGAGTCAGTCGTCTTGGGTATGTCTGTATAAGGCTTTGCACATCTGGATTTGGGGATTTTCTCCCGTTCTTCCTTGCAGATTTTCTCAAGCGCTGTTAAGTTAAATGGGGAGTGGCGGTGAACAGCAATCTTCAAGTCTTTCCACAGATCTTCAATGGGATTCAAGTCTGGGCTTTGGCTGGTCCACTCAAGGACTTTCACATTCTTGTTCTGAAGCCATTCCAGCGTTGCTTTGGCTGTATGCTTGGGGTCATTGTCCTGTTGGAACGTAAATCTTCGCCCCAGTCTAAGGTCGTTTGCACTCTGAAGCAGGTTCACATCAAGGATTTGCCTGTATTTGGCTCCATTCATTGTTCCCTCTATCCTTGCCAGTCTCCCAGTCCCTGCCGCTGAAAAGCATTCCCATAGCATGATGCTGCCAGCACCAGGCATTACGGAAGGGATGGTGTTATACGGGTGATGAGCTGTGCCTGGTTTTCTCCAGACATAGCGCTCTGCATTAAGGCCAAAGAGTTACATTTTTGTCTCATCAGACCACAAAATATTTTGCCGTATGATCTCAGTCTTTCAAGTGCCTTTTTCAAAACTCCAGGCATGCGGTCATGTGCCTTTTTCTCAGGAGTGGCTTCCGTCTGGCCACTCTCCCATAAATCCCAGATTGCTGAAGTGCTGTCGAGACTGTTGTCCTTCTGGCAGGTTCTCCCATCTCAGCCAAGGAACTCTGTATGTCTGTCAGAGTGGTCATTGGGTTCTTGGTCATCTCCCTGACCAAGGCCCTTCTTGCCCGGTTGATCAGTTTGGTCGGATGGCCAGCTCTAGGCAGTTCCATATATTTTTAATTTCCCAATGATGGAGACCACTGTGCTCTTGTAAACTTTCAACACTCTAAAAATAGTTTTCTACACTTCCCCAGATATATGCCTCATCACAAGAGATCTATGGACAGCTCCTTGGACTTCATGGTATAGCTTCTGTTCTGACATTCGCTGTCAACTGTGGGATCTTATATAGTGTGTTTCTTTCTGAATCATGTCCAAACAATGGTATTGACCATACTTGGACTCCAATCAAGTTGTAGTGACATTTTAAGGATGATTAAAGGAAATTGGATGCACTTGAGCTCAATTTGGAGTATCATATCAAAGGGGTGTGAATACTTATGTAAATAGATATTTCTGTATTCTATTTTCAATACATAAAAATAAATCTCAACATTTCTAAAAACATGTTTTCACTTTGTCATTATAGGGTTTTGTGTGTAGATGGGTGAGAGAAAAACAATATTGAATACATTTTGAATTCAGGCTGTAACACAACAAAATGTGGAATAAGTCAAGGGGTATGAATACTTTCTGAAGGCACTGTAGATTAAGTACATTCCTTCTTTCTACCACCCTTGTATTGCCTCATGTTTACTTTTACTATCAATATTAGGAGGATAGTATTACACTGGCCTGAGATTACAGCCTTTGTGGGTTTAGGCTAACTAAATCCCCATGGAAATGATGTCTAAAGGAATAACGGTAGAGCCAAAAATACTGCCGTGTTTCCTTTTAATGAAAATATTAACCGCGAGCATAAAGGGGAAAACATTGAAATGTTATGAAGGGGGATTGGCAGGGAGGGGGGTGGGGTTTAGAAAGGGGGAGCCTCTTTTGAATTACCATAACAGTGGGAGCAGGCTTCATTACTATTCCTGACGGCATTTGAAATTCAATGAGATGTAAATGTTTGACATGATATACAGAAATGCGGGGGGGGGGGGGGGGGGGGGGGGGATAAAACACACTCTCCGGATCAGTGAGGGTGAAAATATCATAGAGCTAGCTACTGACTACTGTACAAATCGCTGCTTTATTGGCCCACTTTATAAGTTCCTGACTCAATGCCGGGCAGGACCATCACACAAAAACACACACACACACATTGGGAGATGATAATAAAAAAGACATTTAGGCCTTCCATCTTTGATATACCATGTGGTCACAACTCGTGTAGTTACACTTATTTCAAAGCATATTTCCAATGAGAAGCCACTAGCTGCTTCATAACCGTCAAATGAGGTCAGTGTGTAGGTCGCAGGCCAGTGTTTGGTGTTCTGCACCATTAACCTGCCAACCCAACACATAATATTGCAGACAAATACCCTTGGCAGCAGAAGGATAGACGGACTGAGTGCCCCGAGGGGACAGAAAGGGCTTAATCCTTTAAACTGTTCCAGATATTACCTCTGAATACCACTGCAAACAGCAGTGTTTAAACCCAGGCAGTCGAGTGACCTTGTAAACATAGTTATTACACACAAAAACACAAATGTGCACCACGCACTCACTGGGGTTTTTCAAAGTAAGCATGAAGTAAAACCGTGCAACCCTACTAAGAAGGTCAAAGGCTTTATTTTCAGTGTGGGAAAAAAAAGTAATACGTCTTTGTCAGACAGGTGTCAAGCGCCATCACACCTTGGTAAATCAGACATCACACATGAATCTAGTCTTATCTTTTCCCCTCTTGGCTTCGAGGTTTGGGAAATAAATAACAGGGGAAATCGCATCAATCATTTCAGGACTGTATGGGGTGTCGGGGTGTCCTTAGGAAGGTCAATAATCTTTTCACCTATGTGAGACTTTATCAGATGGAGTCGAGAGCCCGAGATAAAAGCCCCTCGCGTTAACCTCCGCCGATTGGCAGCGCGTCTTCCTCGCACAAAGCGGCTCTTTAGCCGGACAAAGATACAGGGCCCAAGGTCACAATGGCACCGGGCGTCACAGCAGACAGACACCAGAGCATTACCTACCTACCGCCAAACAAGCTGTCAACACCAACTTTGTCAGCGAAAGGAGAAATCAACTGGCGGAGAGTGATAATGAATCTAATCCCCCCCACCCCTTCAACCCCTACCCAACACACATCCCCTTTAGCGCCCCCTGAATAGATTTGATATGTGCCCCCTGAAACCCGAGACAGGGAAATCAACGTTATCTTTTCAAGATACAATGGAGTAAGACAGAAGGAGGGGAGATGGGGGGAGGACTCACTTGAAATTCATCGTCTAGAGGCTCATTGATTTGAATGTCTAACACTTCGTCCTGGTAAATCCCGTCGCCCTCGGCCTGTTCTCCTGAGTATTCCATTTGGCCGTCTGGCATCTCCATGTCATTGGGCTGGCTGTACTCGTCCACGTACTCTCCTCCCTCCTGCTGGTAGCCCCCCTCTACATCTCCTAGGTCGACTGTGTAGTCTATGGGGTTCGCCTGCTGGTCAAATTCGCCTAGAGTAGCATTGAGGCTAACTCCCTGGCTGCTGAAAGGCAAAAACACACAATTATATAAGGTGTTCACTCACTGCTGTACAATGTAGAGAAAAACAGGGGCAGTTCAAGAGGGTGCTACGAAATGAATGTCAAAACGTAGTTTTCTTTGCCATATGTCATTATAAATGACATAGAATGAATCATTAGATTGTTCTCTACAATATTCTGCAGAGAACAATATAGGTTGTTCTCTACAGGGTTGACGAACGTTCATTTGATAAGAACGTTAATTTGCTGTGACCGTTGCTAGTTTAGACTGCGCCACTCTTGGTTGGATCTCCTCCAAATTTGGTGTTGTGAGGTGGTACCATTTGGAGGTGTTTCCGCTGATTGGACCAATCAAAATCAACTTGATACCTTCGTCATTTTCACCTCCTGATCTTTGGCTTTCATTGCCTATATTGGCGATCAATCTACGTTGAGAGGGGTCGTTTATATGGCGTTTTAAAGGGAAAGATTCAGAAATACACAATGAAAACAGGAACAGATTGTCTTCGCGGATGGTGGATATTGAAATTCAGTCTGTCAGCTTTGTAAATAAATATATATTTAGTCCCTATTTCGTTTTGTGTTTTCACTCACGAACCTGCAGCCACTAGTTAGCTTGTCAGTTGACGTTCGAAGTTAGCGCCGTTCTGCCGCGGAGCAGTGCCACAGTGTTCTACTGAGTTGTGACCACTTTTTGATCATGCCTGTGATGACATTCCTTTCACTCTAAACATGCTAAATTCTCAGAGTACATCGTCATTAACTTTTGAACCATATATGGTAGAGACATGAGGGTTGGACTATTGTTTCTGACAGAATTTTCTATTAAACTGACATATTTGTATAAACCTTGAATTAATTAATCATTTTATGGGTGAACACCCTAAATTATAAACTAAGGAGACTGTAGCTCAAAAATGTTCATGTCAAGTGTCTATAGACTAAGTATGGAAATGCAATCAGCGCGATCAGACCACGTAGATACAATGAACTTACAAGTTTTGACCTTCTTCATCACTTTGCAGAAGGTCATCATTCAATTCCTCATCTGACGCTTCTGAGGGATTCTAAAATCAAGAAAAACAACCCAGAACAGATCAGTATGTTCTATCTCATGTTATTCATTCCTTGCAAGCCCAGGCTTTGGATGGCAAGGTCGACTATAGTACAACTACTGAATATCAAACAAAAGTGAAGTGTTCTTTAATTTCTACAAACCACATCAGATTGAATGTGTAGGCCTATGTATGTTGGAATCAGATTGCTAATCTCACATATTTTAAGTAAATACTTGAATTAATAAAATAGTTCAAATAAACATGGGGGATCGCCTTCAGTCCAAAATAATGCTTTATTCCCATGTGGTGAAGGCAATCTAGGCCTGTTAAGTGTTTTTTCACATATAGTCATCTTTAAAAGAACCAATCTCAATCTCAGTCTTCTTTAAAGTGAACTCCAGAAAAATAAAAAAACTCTGTTTACATTTTTTATATATTTTAGTCATTTAGCAGACGCTCTTATCCAGAGCGACTTACAGGAGCAATTAGGGTTAAGTGCCTTGCTCAAGGGCACATCGACAGATTTTTCACCTAGTCGGCTCGGTTCTCTTTGCAGTTCTCTTTGCATTCACACTGCCATTGACTTTGAATGAGGACCCAACTCTTTTGCCAGTTCACATCACCTATTTTGTGGTCCGGGTCCTCTTTGCATTAACATTGCTATGTTTAGAAAGGAACCAAGAGTTTTTTTTCCAACATTCACTCAATGCACTCTGGGACAAGCCATTTAATTAAAATACGTTATTGAACAGCTAGATACACCTACTTACATTTTGGAAGCAAATAGATTGCATTTAGTTAAAAGATGCAACAATAACTTTTATCAGAAGATACTATTAACATGTAAATATTATTGGTAACATAATAAATATCAGCATAATAACTGCAGATTAAATAATGCTGTAATTGAAAATTGTACACCCAATGTCCTTTTAAGAGCTAGAATAGATTTTGTACCCTGTTGTGATTCTCACCAAATATGTTGTCTTCTCACACTACTCAAACCCCACAACCAAATAAACAGCTTATGAAGCGTTCCGAGCCTATAGATCACATATTGCAAACAAATAATCTGAAGTAAACCTCCACACTTACAGTGAGGGAAAAAAATATTTGATCCCCTGTTGATTTTGTACGTTTGCCCACTGACAAAGACATGATCAGTCTATAATTTTAATGGTAGGTTTATTTGAACAGTGAGAGAGACAGAATAACATTTAAAAAATCCAGAAAAACGCATGTCAAAAATGTTATAAATTGATTTGCATTTTAATGAGGGAAATAAGTATTTGACCCCTCTGCAAAACATGACTTAGTACTTGGTGGTAAAACCCTTGTTGGCAATCACAGAGGTCAGACGTTTCTTGTAGTTGGCCACCAGGTTTGCACACATCTCAGGAGGGATTTTGTCCCACTCCTCTTTGCAGATCTTCTCCAAGTCATTAAGGTTTCGAGCCTGACGTTTGGCAACTCGAACCTTTAGCTCCCACCACAGATTTTCTATGGGATTAAGGTCTGGAGACTGGCAAGGCCACTCCAGGATCTTAATGTGCTTTTTCTTGAGCTACTCCTTTGTTGCCTTGGCCGTGTGTTTTGGGTCATTGTCATGCTGGAATACCCATCCACGACCCATTTTCAATGCCCTGGCTGAGAGAATGAGGTTCTCACCCAAGATTTGACGGTACATGGCCACGTCCATCGTCCCTTTGATGCGGTGAAGTTGTCCTGTCCCCTTAGCAGAAAAACACGCCCAAAGCATAATGTTTCCACCTCCATGTTTGACGGTGGGGATGGTGTTCTTGGGGTCATAGGCAGCATTCCTCCTCCTCCAAACACGGCGAGTTGAGTTGATGCCAAAGAGCTCGATTTTGGTCTCATCTGACCACAACACTTTCACCCAGTTCTCCTCTGAATCATTCAGATGTTCATTGGCAAACTTCAGATGGGCCTGTATATGTGCTTTCTTGAGCAGGGGGACCTTGCAGGTGCTGCAGGATTTCAGTCCTTCACGGCGTAGTGTGTTACCAATAGTTTTCTTGGTGACTATGGTCCCAGCTGCCTTGAGATCATTGACAAGATCCTCCCGTGTAGTTCTGGGCTGATTCCTCACCGTTCTCATTATCATTGCAACTCCATGAGGTGAGATCTTGCATGGAGCCCCAGGCCAAGGGAGATTGACAGTTCTTTTGTGTTTCTTCCATTTGCGAATAATCGCACCAACTGTTGTCACCTTCTCACCAAGCTGCTTGGCGATGGTCTTGTAGCCCATTCCAGCCTTGTGTAGGTCTACAATCTTGTCCCGGACATCCTTGGAGAGCTCTTTGGTCTTGGCCATGGTGGAGAGTTTGGAATCTGATTGATTGATTGCTTCTGTGGACAGGTGTCTTTTATACAAGTAACAAACTGAGATTAGGAGCACTCCCTTTAAGAGTGTGCTCCTAATCTCAGCTCGTTACCTGTATAAAAGACACGTGGGAGCCAGAAATCTTTCTGATTGAGAGGGGGTCAAATACTTATTTCCCTCATTAAAATGCAAATCAATTTATAACATTTTTGACATGCGTTTTTCTGGATTTTGTTGTTGTTATTCTGTCTCTCACTGTTCAAATAAACCTACCATTAAAATTATAGACTGATCATTTCTTTGTCAGTGGGCAAACGTACAAAATCAGCACGGGATTAAATACTTTTTTCCCTCACTGTAGGCTATTTGGGAATTTCTGTGCATTCTTGACAATCGGTAATCAGTATCCAAAAACAGCACAAGTTTTTTTCCGCCAACCTGCACATCATCTTCTCTTTTTTGGGGAACCAACGTAAGGGTGTTTTCACACTTGGTCCCTTTCAGACAATTTTTGTGAACTCAGTGCGGTTCGCTTAATGTTTTATGCAGTGTGAACACTCCAAGGGAACTCAGGCCCCTCAAAAAAGCCCCCGAAGCTAAACTGAATTGAGACCATCTCAAGAGGTGGTCTGAGTTCGGTTCGCTTGAATTCCACGGTCCGGTTCCCTTTTTAAGGGCAATTTGAACACAAAGCTCCCCAGGTTCGCTTGTCATTATTCCAGTACCACACACTACTGCAACACCGTTTCCCCTGCCATAACCCTTCACATTGGTGCCACAAGAGAGAAGATGATGATGATGTGCAGGTTCGCAGAAAAAAACGTGTGCCGTTTTTGAATATTGATTAGCGATTGTCAAAAACGCACAGAAATTCCAAAGTGTGTGGTTTTTAGTTCAGATTATTTGTTTGCAATATGTGATATAATATAATAATATAATATAATAATTATAATATGCCATTTAGCAGACGCTTTTATCCAAAGCGACTTACAGTCATGTGTGCATACATTTTTACGTATGGGTGGTCTCGGGGATCGAACCCACTACCCTGGCGTTACAAGCGCCATGCTCTACCAATTGAGCTACAGAGGACCATAATAAGGACCATGATCTATAAGAGAGCTTCATAAGCCATTTATCCGATTGTAGGGTTTGAATAGTGTGAGAAGACAAAATGCACTATACATACAAATGTATGTGGACACCTCTTCAAATTAGTGGATTCGGCTCTCTCAGCCACACCTGTTGCTGACAGGTGTATAAAACTTTGCGCACAGGCATGCAATCTCCATAGACAAACATTGGCAGTATAATGGCCTTACTGAAGAGCTCATTGACTTTCAACATGGCACCGTCCTAGGATGCCACCTTTCCAACAAGTCAGTTCGTCAAATTTTTGCCCTGCTAGAGATGCCCGGGTCAAGAACTGTTCGTCAGGAGCTTCATGAAATGGATTTCCATGGCCGAGCAGCCACACACAAGCCTAAGATCACCATGTGCAATGCCAAGCATCGGCTGGAGTGGTGTAAAGCTCACTGCCATTGGCCTCTGGAGCAGTGGAAACGCATTCTCTGGAGTAATGAATCACGCTTCATCATCTGGCAGTCCGACGGACAATTCTGGGTTTGGCAGATGCCAGGAGAACGCTACCTGCCCCAATGCATAGTGCCAACTGTAAAATTTGGTGGAGGAGGAATAATGGTCTGGGGTTGTTTTTCATGGTTCGGGCTAGGCCCCTTAGTTCCAGTGAAGGGAAATCTTAACGCTACAGCATACAATGACATTCTAGATGATTCTGTGCATCCAACTTTGTGGCAACAGTTTGGGGAAGGCCCTTTCCATTTTCAGCATGACAATGCCCCTGTGCACAAAGCGAGGTTCATACAGGAATGGTTTGTCGAGATCGGTGTGGAAGAACTTGACTGGCCTGCACAGAGCCCTGACCTCAACCCCATAGAATACTTTGGGATTCATTGGAACGCAGACTGCAAGCCAGGCCTAATCACCCCACGTCAGTGCCCAACCTCACTAATGCTTGTGGCTGAATGGAAGCAAGTCCCCAGAGCAATATTCCAACATCTAGCGGAAAACCTTCCCAGAAGAGTGGAGGCTGTTATAGCAGCAAAGGGGGGGCCAACTCCATATTAATGCCCATTTTTTTTGGAATGAGATGTTCGACGAGGAGGTGTCCACATACTTTTGGTCATGTAGTGTATTTGGTGAGAATCACAACATAGGGTACAAAATCAATTTTAGCTCTTAAAAAGGGCAGTAGCCTACATTGGGTGTACAATTTTCAATTACAGCATGATTGAATCTGCAGTTATTCTTCTGCTATTTATTCTGTTACCAATAATATGTATGTTAATAGTATCTTCTGATTACAATTAGTATGCCTCATCTTTTAATTAAATGCAATCTATTAGCTTCCAAAATGTAAGTAGGTATATCTAGCTGTCCAATAACACATTCTGATTAAATGGCTTGTCCCAGAGTGCATTGAGTGAATGTTGGGAAAATATCTTTGTTTCTTTCTAAACATAGCAATGTTAATGCAAAGAGGACTCAGACCACAAAATGAGTGAAGTGAACTGGCAAAAGAGTTGAGTCCTCATTCAAAGGCAATGGCAGTGTGAATACAAAGAGAACTGAGTTCTTTAACCTTTTTTTTTTTTTTACCCTAGAGTTCACTTTAAAGAGGACAGATCGGTTCTTTTAAAGAGGACTATATGTTAAAAATAAAAACACTAAGAATTTTTGTTGCCCACTGTCCTTCCTCCTGGTTCACATCAATAAATGCCCCTGTGGTGGAGCCACCCGGCACAAGCCTACTGTTAAATGTAACATCACCGTGAGGTCTAACTCTATGGGATCAAGGCTAATTCACCTTTCCTACAGCTGGCAGGCTGCATTCTTAATATGTGTCATAGGTTAGCATGGCAGAGGCATCTATGAATGCTATGAAAGTAATCACAAACAGAGGAGACGGGAAGTCCTTTGTCTTACCTTTTTGGCTGTCAGCCAATCCTCATCGAGCAAATCACCCTCAATTTCACTGTAAGAGAAGAGATAAACCATGACGTAAAGCAAGGCAAGTCAGCGTATCTAATTTTACAATGCTAGGTATTGGTCTAGTCTCTATGTGGCTAGTCTAGACAGGATTCTTCACTGGAGCCTAAATTCTCATGAGCAAGGCCAGCTAATAGGCTAAATTGTGCACCAATAACACAACATGTTTACGATAAGCAGATGCCAATATTCCACCAAATTTACACTAGACCCGTCTCTGCAAGGCCAGATTCTAGTGATACAAATGTTGTTCTCATAGGCTGCAGTCTCTATATTGTTCCTGGGTCATGTTCAGTTGGACCCAAACAGGAGCAAGTACTTTAAATGGAAGCTGTACCACCTCAATTTCTCTCCTACCAGGTATGCTCATAAATCTACGTCATATTCAGATCATAAGCTCATTATGTCGTCATATTGTTTCTTATATTGTTGTTGGGAAAATGGTTTTACAAATTACAATAGTATACTTTTGTATATACAGTACCACCCAGCTCCATTCATGAACAACCTTGGTAAAATGGGAAAAATATGTGGTGACATGGTGGCAAATTCTCCGCAAGAGATAGTCTCTGCCTAAAATCTATTTTAGGCCTATATTTTCTGCATTAGTTATGGGCTTCATAGTTAAGAGTAAGGAACTACTGTACTAATATTAGGCTTGGGTGGTACACTGTATATACCGTATACCGGAGTATTTGGAAATAGCCACTGGATGGTTTTCAATACAGTCAATACCGTTGAAACTATTTCTTTGAAAAAATATTTTTATCAATGTGAATATTTGTAGCTACTTTTTAAGTAAAGCCATCCAGGACCTCTATACCAGGCGGTGTCAGAGGAAGGCCCTCAAAATTGTCAAAGACTCCAGCCACCCTAGTCATAGACTGTTCTCTCTGCTACCGCACGGCAAGCGGTACCGGAGTGCCAAGTCTAGGTCCAAAAGACTTCTCAACAGCTTCTACCCCCAAGCCATAAGACTCATGAACAGCTAATCATGGCTACCCGGACTATTTGCACTGACCCCCCAACCCCATCCTTTTACGCTGCTGCTACTCTGTTAATTATTTATGCATAGTCACTTTAACTCTACCCACATGTACATATTACTTCAACTAGCCGGTGCCCCCGCACTCTGCACCGGTACCCCCCTGTATATATAGCCTCCCTACTGTTATTTTATTTTACTTCTGCTCTTTTTTTGTTGTTGTTTATTTTTACTTTTTTTGTTAAAAAGAAATGCACTGTTGGTTAAGGGCTGTAAGTAAGCATTTCACTGTAATGTCTGCACCTGTTGTATTCGGCGCATGTGGCCAATAAAATTTGATTTGATTTGATTTTGATTTAAATACCTGCAGTCAACTTGTGCAATATGTTAGGAGATAAAGATCTCACTCTTCATTTCACCTGTCACATAATTTTTTATTATAAAACTTACCAGTAGTCCCCAGTCAGGTGGTGTTTGTTTACAAGCACAGAACGACGAGAGACCAGAGCCTTGTGAGTCACTCACTGTTGTGCAGCCAGGTGATCTAGTTCCAGTATGGAATTCACAACTAAATGTTTGCCAGCTAGATATATTATAACTATTAAGTTAACAGTCTAAAATGTGCTAAATACTCTGCCATTGTGCATTTGGTTTGCTAATTTAGTAGCTAGTTAGCTAAGTGGTTAACTTCAGGCCAAAATAAATAAATAAATAAATATCTTTAAAAATCTAGTTCGCTTGGATCAAGAGCCTTGCGGTCTAATATTTTTTTGTGCGTGCAGCAAACTGAGTAGCATTTTTTTGTTACTTGTATAACTTTATGAGATGGGATGTCTGTCATACAAATAATAATAATAAATAATTTAGGTCAGAGACTATAAAATGTTCGCAATGCGCTCGTTAGCATTTAATTAGCATTTTCTATGGGATTGCACATGTACTTGTTAGCATTGCTAACCTTCGGATTACAATAGCGCCCCCCTGTGTTCAGTGCCGGTTTTATCGAATATCCCAGTATGGCACAAGGTTGGTATGGAAGTATGACAATCTGGATACTGCCCAAGCCTAACTAATACAGCCTAATGTTAGAGGACAATCCTAAAACTGCCTGCAGTAAAGGGAAAAGAAGGAATGCAAAACGTTTGCTAAAGATTCAAGCATTCCCCATGACAGACAGTCATGTTACACCAAGCAGCAGATATACCTGTCTAAATCATCATCTTCGCCTCTCCTCCTGCGTGATCTCTCTGCACCTGGCTTATCATAATCTTCAAAGTCGTCATCTGAAAACAAAAAGACAAGGCTCTTAAATCTGTTTGCTGTCAGGGTCTTCAAAACCAGTCCTTGAGGGCCACAATGTTTGCACATCGTTGCTTTCTAATTGGCAAATTAAAACATGGGAAAACAGGTGTGAAGACTCTCTGGTCAATCAATAACATGAATTGATCAATTCAGTCCAGCAATTGAGGGGATTCGATTAATCTGGCCGGGCACCCGGGTAGGCGTGTCTTGCACCGGGTGAAAGTTGAATGTATTTGTTTTGGAAACCGGGCTAATTAGGCGGCAGGTAGCTTAGTGGTTAAGAGTGTTGTGCCAGTAACCAAAAGGTCGCTGGTTCTAATCCCTGAGCCGACTAGGTGAAAAATCTGTCGATGTGCCCTTGAGCAAGGCACTTAACCCTAATTGCGCCTGTATGTCGCTCTGGATAAGAGCGTCTGCTAAATGACTAAAATGTAAATGTAAGTCCCGGGCGAGGGCCAGGTGCCCTGTTCAAAGCCCATGGCTATGTCGGCAAAAAAAAAGAATTAAGCACGTGGAGTAATGAGTAGGATTCTGTGTTCACATGCAAAAGTGATTGCTTTTGATAAAAACGCTTTATCTGCCTTCCCAATGAAAACTAGTTTTAAAATTCAAACATATATTTTATGGAAAAGAGATGAATGTTTCTGGACGATGCACCATGCTGCCTTGTTGACAACATGGCTGAGCGGTGCAGACTACTGTTCAATTTGAGAAGGGCGCTCCTCCCTCACCGCTTTTGCCCGTTCACATCACAGGCCATAGACAGGTGCCCTGCGGCTCAGCATAATCGAATCCGCCAATTGATAACCCTAGATGTTTCATCGTTCAGCGCGTTCCCCTGCTCAGACGTTGTATGCATCATCCAATGGTCACGTGCCACGTCATTGACTGTGCAGTCGGGCACCAGATTGCTATTGGTGCTTTTAATGCCATGTTCAAAACAACTGGGAACTCAGAACTCTCCGACATCAGTGCGTTCAAGACAAGACTGGGAAAAATTGTATGAACGGTCATCCAACTTGGGAACTTTGGCCTCTTTCTAGAGCTCCGACTTTCCGACCAGAAGATCACTTACGTCATGATTTGACCATGATCTGACCTCGTATTTTTCAGACTTCTCAGTTGTCTTGAACGCACCATAAAACAACTGGGAACTCCCCCCCCAAAAAACGAGGTCAAATCATTGACATCAGTGATCTTCAGGTCGGAAAGTTGGAGATCGAGAAAGATGCCAATGTTTCTGAGTTGGATGACCATTCAATACTTCTCCCCCTGCATAGCCTATAACATATGAGTCACGTTCCCCTGCTCCAACATTGCATGCATCAACCAATCGACTGACAGATTTTTTTTAACATATGTGGTTAGCCGATACATATGCCGCGTTCAAACCACTGGGAGCTCGGAACTCTTCGCCTTTAGTGTATTCAAACCAACTGGGAACTCGAAAAAAACGATCTCCGACTGGGAAAAATCGATTTCAACGGTAATCCATCTCGGGAACGAGTTCCCAGTTGTTTTGAACGCGGCCAATAAAATACCTATCCTAGCGTAAGATCTGGCAGAGGAACGTGCCCAATTAATTCATTAATGACTGATGTGTGGTTAGCAAGCTACAACATTTTACTAACCAACAAAGGTTTATTTTAATAGTTCCAAGTAAGGTACTGTAATAAACCTTTTTTTTTTTTTTTACCATAAACCATAGCGCGACACATAACTACCATGCCTGCTAGCTAGCTAGCTAACCAGCCAGGCACTGAGGCAGCGGAGCCAACGTCATACAGTTAGCTAGTTAAGTTACAGTTAGCATTTATTTGAATCCAGGAGAAAATAGCTAGCTATATGTTTAACTTATACGGTTATGCATGCAGACACACTAGCAAGTTAACTTGCAATGACGTTATCAAAACAACCACAAAACATGGCGCAGCGAGCTAGCTTTCTAGCAAACGTTAGCTGGCTAGCTTACTGTGGACTTGGTTATAATTGGGCTTGAGATATCAGCATGCTAGACACCACCGTAACATGCACCTTCGAACTTTTGACCAATACACTCACTACACAGCATGAACTCGTATTGTGATGTATAGTTAGCTATAGATCTGTTTCTGTGAATTATTGTGTGTTAGGCCAATGATGCGGCCCAACACTTGCAAGCTGGTTAGCAAGCCCAAAGTCTACCGAAATAATTATGGTTAACATACCTCGGGGGCTGGCCGCCATTACGCAATACTGTTTCCTCAGTGTAAGTGAAATTCTATATAGTTGCAGAATACATTGAAATGTTTACTATTTTGTGTTTAAATCAAGCTAATGCTACAGCTAACGTTGTTTAGCACCATCGGCAGCGATTCAGAACATAAACATGGCTGAGTGAATGAGCTATGATGCATTCTGGGAAAGCATAAATGTTTCCCTAAAACCTGATCCGAAGTCAGATTATTTTACCTAGTATTTATCGAATCAATGGTGGATGTATGATGATAAACTGATCCTAGATCTGCTCTTTTGGTCAACTTCTTTCTGCACTTCATGAGACCCAACAACAAGTATGCAAGAGATCTAATTACATTTTTACATATTGCATGGAACCAGTGGTGTAAAGTAACTGAGTACAAATACTTTGGAGTACTACTTAAGTAGTTTTTTGGGGGTATCTGTACTTTACTTTACTATTTATATTTTTAACAACTTCTACTTTTACTCCACTTTTACTTGACTTATCAAGAGAACAAGTGGTCATCCATACTGCCTGTGATCTGGTGGACTCACTAAACACAAATGCTTCGTTTGTAAATTATGTTGATGTACCCATGGCTATCCGTAAAAAAAAAAAAACATTGTGCTTTCTGTTTTGCTTAATATATGGAATTTGAAATGATTTATAGCATTTTCTTTTACTTTTGATACTTAAGTATATTTTAAACCAGATTTTAGACTTTTACTCAAGTAGTATTCTATTGGGTCACTTTTACTTGAGTCATTTTCTAGGTATCTTTACTTTTACTAAAGTAATGCAATTTGGGTAATTTTTCCACCACCCCATCTTTTTACGCTGCTGCTACTCTGTTAATTATTTATGCATAGTCACTTTAACTCTACCCAAATGTACATATTACTTCAACTACCTCAACTAGCCGGTGCCCCCTTACATTGACTCTGCACCGGTACCCCCCTGTATATATAGCCTCCCTACTGTTATTTTATTTTACTTCTGCTCTTTTTTTCTCAACACTTTTTTGTTGTTTTATTCTACTTTTTTATTAAAAATAAATGCACTGTTGGTTAAGGGCTGTAAGTAAGCATTTCACTGTAATGTCTGCACCTGTTGTATTCGGCGCATGTGGCCAATAAAATTGGATTTCATTTGATTTGATATACATATTTTCTCAATAAGAGTAGGCGATAACATGAAATATATAATACATAGCTATACAACATCAGTCATTTGTCACACATACTGGCCCAATTCATCCCTTTATTCATAGAGACCATCCTCTGGGATTGTGACTTGGATAGGAAATGGACGATGCTTATCAGTCTCACTGGCAGCTATAGGAATTAAGAGAGGGGAAATGTCACAAAAATAATTTGTGGATAATGGGTGTGTCACAATGATGTCACAGTGGATTGTGAATAAAAAGTGAACTATTCTTAACAAAGGACTCAGTCCCTTGGGAATAACTTGAGGTTATCAATCACTCTCAGATCTATTATTTAGGCCAGAAACTGACTGGTGTAAACATGACCAATGTAAATATTTTCTATTCTACTTGATGTTTTTAGATCAACAAATGCATATTTACATTTAGGTCTAGTCATTATGCAATTCCAGAACTGGAGTTAATCTTATTAAAGTTATTCAAGTCACTCCTTTGATATATTATTTTTTTTTTGGGGGGGGGGGGGGGGGGGGGGGGGGGGGTACCAAAGCCTTTCCAGTTAACGTAACAAAGGTTTTGGCATAGCATTCTTTTTTTCTGGTGTCCATTCTAAAGTCTGGAGTCCATTAAGCTCTGAAGAAGGTATCCAAGCAGTTGTCTCTCAGACTCTACAGCCAGACTTTGGAGCGACTGGTAAAGTCTAACCCCCAAATTCCTCTAGGGCTGACAAACGTCAACAAAGACCCCTAGAGACACCAAAGAGAGGTGAGCAGTGAAGTGAAGCCTCATTGTATTGGCTCATTATGGGATCCCGCAGTGAGGAAGAAGCCATTTTGTAGCACCACAAGGTCAATATCTGAAAGCCAGAGCGATGGAGGGGATCAGCCATGAGATGTTTAATGTCAGAAGGTGGAAAGGGACTTTCCTGGTAACTGACAGTCTGTAAATCCTAATGGACTGTGGGGATTGGGAGGATAAGATGTTGAGCTGGTGAATATTTTCCTATTTTCTTGTGGAGTGGTGTATTGATAAAATATACAATATTTTCCCTATATCTCAATGACTGTAATTTTCCTTAGCATGGCATGCCATTTATTTTGGTGTTTGGAAGGTAGGCTTACCTTCTGAACACACATTTTTGGACAACATGTCGCCAATAGTGTCTGTAAATAAAGTCTTTATGCATGCAAGTACAAAAGGAAATCCTCAAGCAGTGAACAATTGAGCTAATGTTATCAAGGATAGGGTTGTTATACAGTACATAAGGAAATAACTGTCAGGGTGTCCAATGAACACAGAACAACATTAGCTGTCAGTAGTAACATGAGACCAATTATGGTAAAGATAATGCTGTAAAACATGACTTGAAAATATGATAGATAGCCTATATATACGTTTCAGTTAATAATATAATTATTTAACTAATAAGTACTTTCATCATGCTCCAATCATTACATGTTTTACCATGTTTTTCTTATGATCAACATCATTGCTATGCATATTGATATTCATAATGGGGATACCATTTTATGAAATATTAACAACTGAACAGCTGCTTTTAAGATGCTGAGAGGTTGTATATACTCTCTCGATCCTGATTCTCTTTCCCAAGAATTGTGGGGTTATTTCCAATAACAAGTTCTGAGGAGAGCTGTCACATTCTATTACGATGCCCTGAATGATTCGGTGCCCTTTTCCCAATCCAGCGGTTTTCCATAACAATGCAATTTAAAGGGTGGAAAGCCTGAGGCGACAAGAATTTATCCTCTTCAGTTAACGGACAAAAGTTCTTCCCACAACAAACCTGCCCATATGTCTTGTATAGACCCACTTGACAAAGCTTCAACCTCCTCTTTTTTATATTTTTTATGTAAGCCATTTGTATGTACAGAGAACTAATCATTGTCAAAATAATATAAACCATCCTGAGAAAGCCCAATAGCATTGCAAAGAACCATGTAAGTGAAAGGATTCATTGTAACAGAACATTCCTCTATTGAGTTGTGTGAGATAACATACATACATAAGCCCTTTAAAATAAAAAGCATACAGTAGGACCTATCTATACCATAGAAATATAATCTCATTATAGTTCTGTGATCTACACACTGTCTACTCTGATCCCCTGAAAAATACAATGAAATTGTAATGTAGGCCTACGTGACAGGATAGGACCTTCATTTTGGTCCTTGTTTCCCAGGGGACCCTAAGTTGTGGTGAACATGTAAAAGTGCAGCCCTTAGACTTGTGCAGGTGAGCGCTTTTGAGCGTGAAAAACCCAGCAGCGTTGCAGTTCTTGAAACCGGTGTGCCTGGCACCTACTACCATACTCAGCTCAAAGGCACTTCAATATTTTGTCCCCACTTGCTTCAAGATGTCCACCATTGTTCCTGTACCCAAGAAAGCAAAGGAACTCAACTAAATGACTATCGCCCCGTAGCACTCACTTCTGTCATCATGAAGTGCTTTGAGAGGCTAGTTAAGGATTTTATCACCTCCACCTTACCTGACACCCTAGACCCACTTAAATTTGCATACCGCCCCAATAGATCCACAGACGATGCAATCGTCATTGCACTGCACACTGCGCTATCCCATCTGGACAAGAGGAATACCTATGTAAGAATGCTGTTCATTGACTACAGCTCAGCCTTCAACACCATAGTACCCTCCAAGCTCATCATTAAACTCTGGGCCCTGGGTCTGAACCCCGCCCTGTGCAACTGGGTCCTGGACTTCCTGACGAGCCGCCTCCAGGTGGTGAAGGTAGGAAACAACACCTCCACTATGCTGATCCTCAACACAGGGGCCCCACAAGGGTCGAGCTCAGCCCCCTCCTGTACTCCCTGTTTACCCATGACTGCGTGGCCAAGCACGCCTCCAACTCAATCATCAAGTTTACAGACGACACAACAGTAGTAGGCCTGATTACCAACAATGACGAGACAGCCTACAGGGAGGAGATGAGGGCCCTGGCGGAGTGGTGCCAGGAAAATAACCTCTCCCTCAACGTCAACAAAATGAAGGAGCTGATTGTGGACTTCAGGAGTCAGCAGAGGAAGCAGCCCCCTATCCACATCGACAGGACCGCAGTGGAGAAGGTGAAAAGCTTAAAGTTCCTCAGCGTACACATCACTGACAATCTGAAATGGTCCACCCACACAGACAGTGTGGTGAAGAGGTGGCAACAGCGCCTCTTCAACTTCAGGAGGCTGAAGAAATACATCTTGGCCCCTAAGACCATCACAAACTTTTACAGATGCACCATTGAGAGCATCCTGTTTGGCTGTATAACCGCCTGGTACGGCAACTGCACCGCCCGCAACTGCAGGGCTCTCCAGAGGGTGGTGTGGTCTGCCCAACGCATCACTGCGGACACACTGCCTGCCCTCCAGGACACCTACAACACCCGATGTCACAGGAAGGCCAAAAAGATCATCAAGGACATCAACCACCCGAGCCACAGTCTGTTCACCCCACTATCATCCATAAGGTGAGGTCAGTACAGGTGCATCAAAGCTGGGACCGAGAGACTGAAAAACAGCTTCCATCTCAAGGCCATCAGACTGTTAAATAGCCATCACTAGCCGGCCTCCACCCAGTACCCTGCCCTGAACTTAGTCACTGTCACTAGCCGGCTACCACCCGGTTACTCAACCCTGCACCTTAGAGGCTGCTGCCCTATGTACATAGACATGGAATCACTGGTCACTTTAATAATGGGACACTGGTCACTTTAACAATGTTTACATACTGTTTTACTCATTTCATATGTATATACTGTATTCCACTGTATTCTAGTCAATGCCACTCCGACATTGCTCGTCCTAATATTTTTATATTTGATTAATTCCATTATTTTACTTTAGATTTGTGTGTATTGTTGTGAATTGTTAGATACTACTGCACTGTTGGAGCATTTCCCTACTCCCGCAATAGCATATGCTAAATATGTGTATGCGATCAATAACATTTGATTTTG